TCCGAGTGCACAGTGCTGGTCTGAAACCAGCGGAGACCATCCGAGTGCACAGTTCTGGTCCAAAACCAGCCAAGACCATCCGAGTGCACAGTTCTGGTTCAAAACCAGCTGAGACCATCTGAGTGCACAGTTCTGGTCTGAAACCAGCGGAGACCATCCGAGTGCACAGTTCTGGTCTGAAACCAGCGGAGACCATCCGAGTGCACAGTTCTGGTCTGAAACCAGCAGAGATCATCCGAGTGCACAGTTCTGGTCCGAATCCAGCTAAGACCATCTGAGTGCACAGTTCTTCATAAAAACTGGCTAAGACCATCTGAGTGCACAGTTCTGGTCCGAAACCGGGTGAGACCATCTGAGTGCACAGTTCTGGTCCAAAACTGGCTGAGACCATCCGGTGCACATTTCTGGTCCGAAACTGGCTGAGACCATCCGAGTGCACAGTTCTGGTCCGAAACTGGCTGAGGCCATCCGAGTGCACAGTGCTGGTCTGAAACCAGCGGAGACCATCCGAGTGCACAGTTCTGGTCCAAAACCAGCCAAGACCATCCGAGTGCACAGTTCTGGTTCAAAACCAGCAGAGACCATCCGAGTGCACAGTTTCTGGTCCAAAACCAGCCAAGACCATCCGAGTGCACAGTTCTGGTCCAAAACCAGCAGAGATCATCCGAGTGCACAGTTCTGGTCCAAAACCAGCCAAGACCATCCGAGTGCACAGTTCTGGTCAGAAACTGGTCAAGACTATCCGAGTGCCTGCTACAGGAACAGGGACTGTCAGTGCTGTTTGGACTGAAGTGGACTGAATGGAGCACCTGGTGTGGAGAGAGACTGTCACTAAGTTTGTAGCCTAACTACCAAAATTTGTGCTTAAAACTGTAATTTTTTAACTTTTGGAGACACAAGTAAAATGTAGGTGTCATGTCCATGAATTTCAATCTGGTAGGTTGGCAACACTGGTCTGTGGGAATTTGTGCCCATTTATAACGTGAGGTACCTTAGAAATGGGACACATGGACATATAGTCCATGTGTATTCAATGCTGGCTGCTCCAACAAATTATATACTGCACACATGGACTATATGGTCAGATTTGTGGTTACCTGACCACACCCATTTCAGCTTGTAGGACATCCCTTTCCTAAGCCATGGCCATTAATATGGAGTTGGTCCTTCATTGTAGCTATATAGCCCCCACTCTTCTGGGAAGACTTTCCATCAGATTTTGGAGGGTGTCTATGGGAACCCATTTGTGAGGTCAGGTACTGATGTTGGCTGAGAAGACCTGGCTCACCATTGGTGTTCTACACAATCCCAAAGGTGTCCAGTAGGATTGAGATCAGGGCTTTGTGCAGGACATTCGAGTTCCTTCACACAAACTGGTCAAAACATGTCTTTATGAAACTGGACATCTTGTTCCAAAACCATGGACATTAATATAGAGTTGCCCCGCCCCTTCCCCATACACATTAATATGGAGTTGGGCTCCTCTACAGTTACAAGAGCCTTCACTCTTCTGAAAAGGCTTTCCATGACATTTTGGAGTGTCTGTGGGAATTTGTGCCCATTTGTGAGGTCAGGTACTGATGTTGGATGAGAAGACCTGGCTCACCATCAGGGGTCCAATTCATCCCAAAGGTGTTCAGTAGGGTTGAGATTCTGGGAGTAGGTGAGGAGTACCATGAGTGAGAAGAATTCTTGGAAGCTCCAGCCGGTTTGAGAACAATGATCATGTAATTGGTTTATGGCAGAAGCACAGCAAACATATTTCGAGGGATTGAGGCTCCTCCTTCTTCAGGGTTTTGGTAGTCTTAGATCTGTTGGTTGGTCGGACTGCAGTCTGTGTACTAATATGATATTGATGTTCTGATGTATCTGTTGCACAACCACTCTTCTGAGAAGACTTTCCACAAGATTTTGAAATGTGTCTTTGGGACGTTTTGCCCATTTGTGGGGTCAGGTACTGATGTTGGATGAGAAGACCTGGCTCACCATCTGTGTTCCAATTCATCCCAAAGGTGTCCAGTAGGGCTGAGGTCAGGGCTCTGTGCAGGACACTCAAGTTCCTCCACACCAAACTGGTCCTCCATGTCTTTATGGAGCTGGCTTTGTACACAGGGGACAGTCATGGGGGGACAGAAAAGGGTCTTCACCAAACTGTGTTACCACAAGGATGGAAGAGCAGAATTGTCTCCAATGTCTTTGTCTGATGGAGGATTACCGGGACCCGTCACTGGAGACCCCTGAACTCCATCCTTTGGGGGGGGGGGTGCGTATACCTTTGGTAATACAGTGTATATGCAGATGTCTGGTTCACTTTAAGGGCGTTCAATGTCGGACTTTTGTTTGGTTGCCGTGTTTCATGAACAGTGTTAATGGTTCGCTGATTGAGTAGACTTGTCCTCAGCCGGAGGAGTCCTGTCTGTTCTGTAATCAGCAATCAAGTCACATTTGCAGTGAGCCCGCGCGCCACGTCATCAGCATCAAGAAGCGATACTTTGACAGTTGTCATGCTGTGACATATGGGAATGGGAATCCCTACAGCCTGTTCTTTATGTGGGTGGTTCCAAGAAATGCAAATCTGATGTTTTTCTCAGAAATCTTGAAAAACAATTTTAAAGGTCAGGAGGAAAATTGTCAGCGGTGAAAGTATGTCTCATACCTGCTATTCACCGTCAGCTATAAAAAGCCGAGATCTTTTCTTATTGGCTGGGAAGAAAGTTCGGGGCTTGTCAGTCCATCCTCCACATTTTGGAACAACATGGAGAATGAGGCGAAGAATAGAATCTCACTGCGGGGGAACGAACGAAACGCAGCAAGACGGCAGAGACAATGACACGTGGCAGGACCAACGCATGGAATCCTGAGACAATGACACGTGGCAGGACCGACGCATGGAATCCTGAGACAATGACACGTGGCAGGACCAACGCATGGAATCCTGAGACAATGACACGTGGCAGGACCGACGCATGGAATCCTGAGACAATGACACGTGGCAGGACCAACGCATGGAATCCTGAGACAATGACACGTGGCAGGACCAAGGCATGGAATCCTGAGACAATGACACGTGGCAGGACCGACGCATGGAATCCTGAGACAATGACACGTGGCAGGACCGACGCATGGAATCCTGAGACAATGACACGTGGCAGGACCAAGGCATGGAATCCTGAGACAATGACAAGTGGCAGGACCGACGCATGGAATCCTGAGACAATGACACGTGGCAGGAACAACGCATGGAATCCTGAGACAATGACACGTGGCAGGACCGACGCATGGAATCCTGAGACAATGACACGTGGCAGGACCAAGGCATGGAATCCTGAGACAATGACACGTGGCAGGACCAAGGCATGGAATCCTGAGACAATGACACGTGGCAGGACCAAGGCATGGAATCCTGAGACAATGACACGTCGCAGGACCAACGCATGGAATCCTGAGACAATGACACGTGGTAGGACCAACACATGGAATCCTGAGACAATGACACGTGGCAGGACCAACGCATGGAATCCTGAGACAATGACACGTGGCAGGACCAAGGCATGGAATCCTGAGACAATGAAACGTGGCATAAGCAACGCATGGAATCCTGAGACAATGACACGTGGCATGAGCAACGCATGGAATCCTGAGACAATGACACGTGGCAGGACCAAGGCATGGAATCCTGAGACAATGACACGTGGCAGGACCAACGCATGGAATCCTGAGACAATGACACGTGGTAGGACCAACACATGGAATCCTGAGACAATGACACGTGGCAGGACCAAGGCATGGAATCCTGAGACAATGACACGTGGCAGGACCAAGGCATGGAATCCTGAAACAATGACACGTGGCAAGACCAACGCATGGAATCCTGAGACAATGACACGTGGCAGGACCAACGCATGGAATCCTGAGACAATGACACGTGGCAGGACCGACGCATGGAATCCTGAGACAATGACACGTGGCAGGACCAACGCATGGAATCCTGAGACAATGACACGTGGCAGGACCAAGGCATGGAATCCTGAGACAATGACACGTGGCAGGACCGACGCATGGAATCCTGAGACAATGACACGTGGCAGGACCAAGGCATGGAATCCTGAGACAATGACACATGGCATAAGCAACGCATGGAATCCTGAGACACTGACACGTGGCATAAGCAACGCATGGAATCCTGAGACAATGACACGTCGCAGGACCAAGGCATGGAATCCTGAGACAATGACACGTGGCATAAGCAACGCATGGAATCCTGAGACAATGACACGTGGCAGGACCAAGGCATGGAATCCTGAGACAATGACACGTGGCAGGACCAAGGCATGGAATCCTGAGACAATGACACGTGGCAGGACCAAGGCATGGAATCCTGAGACAATGACACGTGGCAGGACCAACGCATGGAATCCTGAGACAATGACACGTGGCAGGACCAACGCATGGAATCCTGAGACAATGACACGTGGCAGGACCAACGCATGGAATCCTGAGACAATGACACGTGGCAGGACCAACGCATGGAATCCTGAGACAATGACACGTGGCAGGACCAACGCATGGAATCCTGAGACAATGACACGTGGCAGGACCAACGCATGGAATCCTGAGCATGAAGATGGAGATAGAAAAATCCCCCTTTGTCCCTTCCACTCATGACTACCCTACCCTTCCATTTCCCTCATCCACCTCCCCTCTACCCCCTACAGTCCCCTTCACCTGATCCCGCCTCACCTCTTAATACCCTCCTCTTCACTCCATCCCCCCTACCTTCTTAGTGTCTCCTACCCTCCCCTTCACCCGATTCCCCTTTCCTTTTTACTACCCACTAAGTTCCCCTTCAACCCACCCACCCTCCCCTCTTAGTACCCCCTATCCTCCTCATCCCCCCCCCTCTTAATACCCTCCCCTTCACCCCTCCCTTCTTACTACTCTCCCCTTCACCCCATCCCTCTCCCCTCTTAGTACCCCCTATCCTCCCCTTCACCTCATCCCCCCTCCCCTCTTAATACCCTCCCGTTCACCCAATCCCCCCTCCCCACTTACTACCCCCTAACCTCCCCTTCACCCCCCCCCCCTCTTACTACCCCCTAACCTCCCCCATCACCCCACTCCCCCTCCCCTCTTACTACTCTCCCCCCTCCACCCCATCCCCCCTCCCCTCTTTAATATCTCCTCCCCTCCCCCTTACCTCATCCCCCCTCCTCTTTTACTACCCTCCCCTTTACCCCAAAATTGTGGACCTCCATTCAGTGTCCTCCACCCTTTCTGCCAATCCCTCCACTGGCCTCCATTCAGTGTCCTCCACCCCCCTCTGCCAATCCCTCCACTGGCCTCCACTCAGTGTCCTCCACCCCTGTCTGCCAATCCCTCCATTGGCCTCCACTCGGTGTCCTCCACCCCCCTCTGCCAATCCCTCCACTGGACTCCATTCAGTGTCCTCCACCCCTCTCTGCCAATCCCTCCACTGGACTCCATTCAGTGTCCTCCATCCCTCTCTGCCAATCCCTCCACTGATCTCCATTCAGTGTCCTCCACCCCTCTCTGCCAATCCCTCCACTGGCCTCCATTCAGTGTCCTTCACCCCTCTCTACCAATCCCTCCACTGGCCTCCACTCAGTGTCCTCCGCCCCTCTCTGCCAATCCCTCCACTGGCCTCCATTCAGTGTCCTCCACCCCTCTCTGCCAATCCCTCCACTGGCCTCCATTCAGTGTCCTCCACCCCTCTCTGCCAATCCCTCCACTGGCCTCCATTCAGTGTCCTCCACCCCTCTCTGCCAATCCCTCCACTGGCCTCCACTCAGTGTCCTCCACCTCTCTCTGCCAATCCCTCCACTGGACTCCATTCAGTGTCCTCCATCCCTCTCTGCCAATCCCTCCACTGATCTCCATTCAGTGTCCTCCACCCCTCTCTGCCAATCCCTCCACTGGCCTCCATTCAGTGTCCTTCACCCCTCTCTACCAATCCCTCCACTGGCCTCCACTCAGTGTCCTCCGCCCCTCTCTGCCAATCCCTCCACTGGCCTCCATTCAGTGTCCTCCACCCCTCTCTGCCAATCCCTCCACTGGCCTCCATTCAGTGTCCTCCACCCCTCTCTGCCAATCCCTCCACTGGCCTCCACTCAGTGTCCTCCACCTCTCTCTGCCAATCCCTCCACTGGCCTGTTGCCTAATGAATAAAATTCAAAACATTAACAATAACATAAAGCCATTTATAACTCCGCCCAAAATTACATCACCAATCTTGTCTCCAAATATCACCCAAACCATCCTCTCCGCTCCTCGTATGACCTCCTGCTCTCTAGCTCCCTTGTCTCCTCCTCCCATGCTCGTCTCCAGGACTTCTCCAGAGCCTCCCCCATCCTCTGGAACTCTCTACCCAAATCTATCAGACTATCGCCTACTCTGCTCACTTTTAGGCGATCTCTGAAAACTGATCTCTTCAGGGAAGCCTATCCTGCCCTCAGCTAATACTGGAATCTTCTACTCCTCCTACCAGTCCATCCCCCACAGGTACTACCTCTTGTACCACCAGCCCCCTCCCTCTTAGATTGTAAGCTCCCAGGATCAGGGCTCTCCTATCCCTCTTGCATTGAACTGTATTGATCTGTATTGTCTCCCATATATTGTAAAGTGCTGAGCAAAAATTCTGTTGGCCCCATAAATCCTGTATAATAATAATATAAATCCTGTAGAATAATAATAATATAAATCCTGTATAATAATAATAATAATAAAATAATATAAATCCTGTAGAATAATAATATAAATCCTGTATAATAATAATAATAATATAAATCCTGTATAATATTAATAATATAAATCCTGTAGAATAATAATAATATAAATTCTGTATAATAATAATATAAATTCTGTATAATAATAATAATATAAATCCTGTAGAATAATAATAATAATATAAATCCTGTATAATAATAATAATAATATAAATCCTGTATAATAATAATAATAATATAAATTCTGTATAATAATAATAATATATAATCCTGTAGAATAATAATAATAATTTTTTTAAACACTTTTTATTGAAGACTTTTACATTAAACAAATAAAACAAATATTCCATACACATCACACGTGACCTCTACATACAGATGTCCCATATGGGAAACAAAAGGGAGACTGTAATCTGAATATATAAATAAATTCCAAAAAGCATAAAATTAGACCAAATATTAACAGTACCAGACATGAAAGACGTTACAAAGACCCCCAGTAGGACCCCCAGTGGTAAGACTAGAGGCCTTCTCTATAGTCCTAGGGTTTGCCACTGAGAATTTACAACTTATCACTCCAAAGTGAAAATAAAGCTGATTCCAGTCATTCTTCCCAGAACTCCTCATTATTCTACAGGTCTCATCTACAAATAACTTGCTCCATGAGCCGTACTCCTTGTTGTTGGAGTGGGCAGCACGGTGGCCAAGTGGTTAGTACTTCTTCATAGCAGTACTAAGGTGGTTGGTTGGAATCCCAACCATGACATGACCTACCGGGAGTTTGCCCGTTCTTATAAAAACATAAAAACAAATGAAATAATTGGCATGTCAATCAGACAATACATGGGAGCGACCTCAACCCCTGGACAAGTCCATTTTGGGAACAGATGATCCAAAAACTGACACATTTCGAGGGGCGATCCCCTCTTCCGGAAGAGGACATTGCAACGGAACCGATCCAGACTGCGCTTGAGTACTTCCGTTATAATACCACTTCCCCGTCCGAACACCACTGACACCACAGAGACCATACAGGACTAGACCACACCAATCTGTCCGAACACCGACCACACCAATCTGACACCACCGCTGACCATACAGGACTAGACCACACCAATCTGTCCGAACACCCACTGACACCACCGCCGACCATACAGGACTAGACGACACCAATCTGTCCGAACACCGACCACTGACACCACCGCTGACCATACAGGACTAGACCACACCAATCTGTCCGAACACCGACCACTGACACCACCGCTGACCATACAGGACTAGACGACACCAATCTGTCCGAACACCGACCACTGACACCACCGCTGACCATACAGGACTAGACCACACCAATCTGTCCGAACACCAACCACTGCACACACCCGCTGACCATACAGGACTAGACCACACCAATCTGTCTGAACATCGAACACTTTAGTTGAACACAGATACAAGATATATACACTCAGGGGACAGTCCCCCCTCCCTGCATAATGACACAGGGCGGGACAATCCCCCCTACCTGCATAATGACACAGGGCGGGGCAATCCCCCTCCCTGCATAATGACACAGGGCGGGACAATCCCCCCTACCTGCATAATGACACAGGGCGGGGCAATCCCCCTCCCTGCATAATGACACAGGGCGGGGCAATCCCCCTCCCTGCATAATGACACAGGGCGGGGCAATCCCTCCTCCCTGCATAATGACACAGGGCGAGGCAATCCCACCTTCCTGCATAATGACACAGGGCGGGGCAATCCCCCCTCCCTGCATAATGACACAGGGCGGGGCAATCCCCCCTCCCTGCATAATGACACAGGGCGGGGCAATCTACATTTAGTAACAAGAGACACACAGGTATTCAAAACTTCACACCAGCAGACAGTCCCATCAGGAGGGAGGGCTGCTGGAGACACCCCCCCCCCCCCCCCCACTAAGCCAATACACAAACACATACATCCCATAATAGTTTGCTCCCAAGCAAGACACACAATAGAACAATGGGATGCAGCCACATGGCATTAAACAATCCACAACCCCTCCCCACCCCAATATTAGGACAGATCACCCTGTACCCCTAACAGGCACAGGGGGACTTACACATAAAAGGGATATGGGGAGCTGAGACAGGGGTCTCCCCACCTCTCCAAAGTGAGCTGTGTTTCATGGGCCCCTCACCCAAAGTGACTCCCGTCACAGGCATCGCCCCTCAAAACGCGTCACCCTTTTAGATGTTTTTATAGTTTCATCTCTGGTTTCCCCGGACCTGTCGGAGGGCAGCACAGCCGTTGCCATCTTTGACCTGCTCAAAGGCCATTCAACAGTCCCATGGTGCCAACGCATTGCTCTTGAGCGCAGGAGGTGCTTTTTTCTTGTTTGTCTAGTTTGCACGTTCTCCCTGTGCCTGCGTGGGTTTCCTCTGGGTACTCCCATTTCCTCCCACACTACAAAGATGTGCTGGTAGGTTAATTGGCTCCTGTCTAGCTAGTTTAATTTAAATTTTCTATTTTGAAAGATGTTACCTTCTCTCAAAAGAACAGTCTTCAGATAATTCCACCTCTCCTCTGACGTGGGAGGGCGACGGGATATCTACTTGAGAGCTACTAGCAATGAAGAGTAGTCTGGTTACCGGAGCCCTAATCTCCAGAGGATATGCATCCTTGTCAGCAAGCGTGACGGAGCACGGATCTGCGCATGCGCACAACGCCAATGCGCCTTAATCTGCTGGCGCTAGGACCTGGGCGGCGGTGGCCGCGCATGCGCACTCGCGTTCGTGGACACGCGCCTGGCGCCAATGACGGCACAGGGCACCCTATTTAAACCAGCCCTGCACAGACACTAACTGCCGTATGGTCTAATTATCCTGTTCCTGTGTGTATCTGCTGATTGACTCGTTGCCGTCCTGCTTGATCCTGACCTCTGCTGACTATCTCCTGCTCTGACCTCTGCTGACTTCTCCTGCTCTGACCTCTGCTGACTTCTCCTGATCCTGACCTCTGCTGACTTCTCCTGCTCTGACCTCTGCTGACTTCTCCTGATCTGCTGACCTCTGCTGACTTCTCCTGCTCTGACCTCTGCTGACTTCTCCTGCTCTGACCTCTGCTGACTTCTCCTGCTCTGACCTCTGCTGACTTCTCCTGCTCTGACCTCTGCTGACTATCTCCTGCTCTGCTCTGACCTCTGCTGCTGACTTCTCCTGCTCTGACCTCTGCTGACTTCTCCTGCTCTGACCTCTGCTGACTTCTCCTGCTCTGACCTCTGCTGACTTCTCCTGATCCTGACCTCTGCTGACTATCTCCTGCTCTGACCTCTGCTGACTTCTCCTGCTCTGACCTCTGCTGACTTCTCCTGATCCTGACCTCTGCTGACTTCTCCTGATCCTGACCTCTGCTGACTTCTCCTGCTCTGACCTCTGCTGACTTCTCCTGCTCTGACCTCTGCTGACTATCTCCTGCTCTGACCTCTGCTGACTTCTCCTGCTCTGACCTCTGCTGACTATCTCCTGCTCTGACCTCTGCTGACTTCTCCTGCTTTGACCTCTGCTGACTTCTCCTGCTCTGACCTCTGCTGACTTCTCCTGCTCTGACCTCTGCTGACTTCTCCTGCTCTGACCTCTGCTGACTTCTCCTTCTCTGACCTCTGCTGACTTCTCCTGCTCTGACCTCTGCTGACTTCTCCTGCTCTGACCTCTGCTGACTTCTCCTGATCCTGACCTCTGCTGACTATCTCCTGCTCTGACCTCTGCTGACTTCTCCTGATCCTGACCTCTGCTGACTTCTCCTGCTCTGACCTCTGCTGACTTCTCCTGCTCTGACCTCTGCTGACTATCTCCTGCTCTGACCTCTGCTGACTTCTCCTGCTCTGACCTCTGCTGACTTCTCCTGCTGACTGACTCTCCTGCTTGACCTCTGCTGACTTCTCCTGCTCTGACCTCTGCTGACTTCTCCTGATCCTGACCTCTGCTGACTTCTCCTGCTCTGACCTCTGCTGACTTCTCCTGCTCTGACCTCTGCTGACTTCTCCTGCTTTGACCTCTGCTGACT